CTTTCAGGATGACAGAGTTTATTTAGATGTGGGAAGCAGAAGCCTGAAGTTGCACTTTGCATTCAGCCTGATAGAAACCAAGGCACAATAATTATTTGTAACAGCCAATACCTGATTGTTAATTCAGCCACCTTCACCTCACACTGCCTCTGGGCCAGTGTCAGTTATTATGAGTATCCCTATAGCTCATGCCCTGCCTGAAAATCAAGGCACAACTAGAATAGAACCATTTAAGGCAACAAAGCTTTACAAGATTTATTAGCAATGGTTTGAGACTTTAAAACCATACTGAACAATCACCAGGGGCTGTCCAGGACACAGGTGACCCTGCTGCAGGTGCTCTGCCTGCACTACAATGGAGAAGTATTTTAGGAGTTGACACAACCGTGGCTGAGAGGTCGTTTGGTTTCACAACCCACTCCAGCTGCATTATGCAGCATGTGCTTTTGGAAGAATGAAATTAAAGACTTTTCCCCCCTGTGGAGAGCCTGAGGCACCAGGGCAGCTCCCAGGGAGGCACCCACAGCCTGGGACTGCCTGCTATGAGGGAAACCTCCAGAGACAGAAACAAGCACAGGAAAAAAGAAAACATTGTTCTCCTCTCTCCCCAAAAAAGGTTATTTTAGAGGTATTACACCCAAGCAAGGCAAGCTTTCATCCTGAGTAACATCAGTATCTTTCTTCCTTCAAAACCAGACTTTTGATCTGCCACATAACCCGTAACAGAAATGAGGTTTTAGCCTTGTTTGATCACACTTTGGAGCCTGTGCAGCAGCTTAAAGCAAATAACAGCCTGAGAAAAACACTGGATATCTTTATGTATGACCATCCCTTCTTCAAAAAAAACCCCAACACTTTAGCTACTGAAAAGTTACTTTTTTTCAGAATGACTGAGTCTGAAACCAGAGGCTTCCTGTGTTCTTTCTGAAGGAAACACTCTGTCAATGTTACTGCTCATTGCTACAAACTATTCCTGATCACTGCTACAAATTATTCCTGCCATATGCAAAGGCAGAAACACCCGGATGAGACAAAAAAAAATCCACACTATTTCTCTCAAGGACACATGAACCCAACTTGCAAATTGAACCCAAGCTTTTTAATTTCCTTAGAAGGAGAATTAATCAAAGATCTCATGCTAATGTATCTGATTGAGCAAATTTCCCTACAAGCTTAGCAGGCAGCACATTAACTGCAACCTGGGAGAAACAATGATAAATGTTTAACAAAAAATCCAAAATTTCAGAAAATGCAAAAGAAACAAAAAAACCCCTTATCTCAGCTATTGTTGGCCATGCACTGGCAGCTGCTGGCTCTGAACTGTGTAGTTAAGCAGTGATAACAGCTTCACCAGGTTTTCCCTTTCAAGGGTTGCATTCCCACCCCCCTCAATACCTTGATTTTCTTTCTAAATCTCAAATGCACCTTAGGAACATCACACAGTGTTCCAATGTATGAAAATAAATTAGCAATAACTACCTTTTCCCTCCAGGACTCCTGAGCTGCTGTGCATGGTAGAAGGAAGATGCAGAGGATTTATTCCACCTAAGACAAGCCACAGCCAAGCCAGGCAGGAGCCATCAAACATGAACACCTGGGGACTATAAAGCAGCTCGAATGCAGAACACAAAACCAAAAAGATGCAGGAGGGAGATGGGGACCTGGAGGAAGTGCCAGGTGCCATGCTGGATGGAGTCCAAAGGAGATTCTGGACCTCGTGTCAGGGATCACTGGCAAACAGGGCAGCTCAAGGTCAGGGCGAGCAGCTCAGTGTGGACTTTGTGTCTGCCCAGGCCAGGCCAGCTCCTGGCTCAGCCACAGCTCAAATTCAGCCTGTTCTGGGAACTCAGCCTGCCTCACAGCACCTGAGCATTCCACCCTTCATTCAGACAGAGGATTCCTCCTGCAACACCGACATGTCACAGCAGTGAAAGCCTCGACTGGCTGGGCAAAGCAGCTCATTTCTAATACCTGTGAAATGGTCACCTCTCCTGATCTGCCAAGAGTTCATTACATGGATGGCAAGAACAAGGTTATTTGTCAAATGATAAGGATCTTAAACTGTTCAAACACAAGATCTAAGATGCATTAAAATTCAAAAGGGTATTTGTTTTATTGAAAATAGAATAATGATGAGTTTTATCTAATAACTACATGGTCTGTATCACTAAATCATAATACACCTCTCAAATAATGTCTTGTCTAGTCATTCCCAAGGTATTAAACTGTCACTTTGCTTTTCTGGAAAACATGTTCCTAAAGAACACACTCTATTCCCAGTTGCTGGAATTTACCAATTCTTACTTGGTTATATTTTCTTCTCGACAGGTAAGATACCAGTGTGCAATATAAGCCAAAATAAAGTTTTAAAATTTACCGATCTGTTTAGGTCACTAATGAATTGGAATTTCACAACCCTCTGGAGGAGCTCCTCTCTAGCAAGTTTCTTATATTGCTATGTAATTCAAATATTACCTTATACTGACTCCCAATTTTTCACACACAAAGTTAATTCACAAAAATCTTTCTCTTCCCCTCCCTTTGTAAAATATAATTACAACTATTTATTTTTAAATTAATTACTTTTCAATAATGTTTATCATAATTTCGTTTATTTCCCCAAACCTCTCAAGTGTAGGGTTAAGAAGCTTCCCCATCCAAGGATAGAGCTGACTCTACAAAAGCAGGGATATGAGTAGAAACCATTTTGAATCCTCACTGCAGCTACTGCTACCAAATCTGCAGGAAAAAAAGTGTATATTTCTTGAAGAAAGATTGCTGTGGATTGCAAATATTAGCAGATGTTACAACAAATACTAAAATAACAGAGTAAATGCAGAGTAAAAAAATAATTCCAATGAAACCTATGAAACACAGAACTATAAAATTTCAAAATATCCAATGAATTGCCTCATCATATTACAGGTGAAACTGAAACAATTCAAATCAACTAAATACTAAGAATTTGGTCTTTCTGCTCCATGAGAAAAGAGTGTAACTCCATAAATAGATTATTCTTGGTTATTCTCAAATGCTTCATCAATATTGAGCTTGGAACTGGTATTCACTCGGTTGCTTTTTATTCAATAATTGTGTCTCGTTAAGAAACTTGTTATAAAAAGGGGGAATAGATTTACTGCTCCTAATGATGAAATCTGTAAAATCTCTAAGAGTTAAAACACTAAACCCACAGAAGAGCACAAAATCGAAACCCAGAAACCAAATTAGTTTACTGGTATTTTTACCTATAACTTCATGAATGCAAATTAAACTTCTATGCCATGAAAAATTACCTTAGATATTATTCTGTCTGGCTTTTCTGATTTATCATATAATCAAATTCTTGCAGGTTGTTTTTCTAGCCTTTCAGGTAAATCATAGGCACACAAATTCCATTCGCTAAGATAATGCAGATTTAGGAAAAAAAAACATAATAGAGCCTGTAATTTACCAAGTGCTGCTTATATATGTGCTAAATATGCTTTTGATTATAAAACTTAGTGCTTGAATTTCAGTCTGTATTTGCTTAACCTGTGAAACACTATTCAAAATAACTGTGTAGCACTACAGTCCCCCCTCCTCAATCTCAAATAAAAAACTTACACAGTAACTGTTTTCAATATCTGACCTTGTTTCCAATGTGAGTTCCAGTCAAATGCACTAACTGTAAGATCGGGCCCTACATTTTACTTTAAAAAAATTACAATGATGCGTCTTAAAATATTATCTTTCTTCAGTTCATTTGTAACCTCCAGAGAATACCAAAATGTACATACTCCCATGCAAGAGGAATTGATACATCTGTGCTATAACTGTGAATATTTCTTTTTTATATCTACTCCCTGTAACTAAAGGCTTTGTTGTGATTTTGGCCTAAAATGTTAGTCAAAAATGTCAGTTATATAAGGCCACGCGTGGAGGCACACGCACTCTAAAAAACCCTGCTGCTGAATTAGTCATGGAAAAAATAATGGATGTCTGGTCTGACATACATATTCACAGAGGGAATAATGCGTTTATACCACCCGAAACTCTGTCCCACCCTCCCTCCTCGGCCCAAGTCAGCCACGAGCAGCCATTCCCAGCCTGCGAAATTCCGTAACCAACAGATCGGCCTAGAAACAACAAGAAATTAAAAACCGCAGGGAAATAACAGGACCGGAATTTTTCACTTGGCTCGACTGACGTCCCCCCGACCCCCGGGCCAGCCTCCCATTCCCAAAGGATCCCGGCGGCCCCGGGCCCGGCTCCCCCTTCTCCAGAGCGGGATCGCGGCGGCCCCGGGCTCCGCTCCCGCTTCCCAACAGGAGACTGCGACGGCCGCGGGCTCAGCCTCCTCTTGCCAGGCAGGGATCGGGGCGGCCCCGAGCTCGATCAGCTCCCTTCCCAAGGAGGGATCGGGGCGGCCCCAAGCTCAGCTCCTTTCCCAAGGAGGGATCGGGATGGCCCCGAGCTCAGCTCCTTTCCCAAGGAGGGATCGGGGTGGCCTCGAGCTGAGTTCCCTTACCCAAGGAAGGATCGGCATGGCCCCGAGCTCAGCTCCTTTCCCAAGGAGGGATCGGGATGGCCCCGAGCTCAGCTCCTTTCCCAAGGCGGGATCGGGGCGGCCCCGAGCTCAGCTCCCTTCCAAAGGAGGGATCGGGATGGCCCCGAGCTCAGCTCCTTTCCCGCGGATGGACCGGGGTGGCCCCGGACTCCGCTCCCTTTCCCAAGGAGGGATCGCGGCTGCCGCGGGCTCGGCCCCCGCCCCACGCGGGCTCGCTGCGGCTGCCGCGGCCCCGCGTGTCCCGCGGGCAGGAAGGAGCGGGACATTCCCCCTTCCCGCGCCGCTCCCGCCGCCTCTCCCAACTTTTCCAGCCACAACTTCCACGTTCCACCCGCGGCGCCGCCGGCCGGGCCGGGCCCTTCCCTCCCTCCTCTCCCGGGCTGCGGAAGGTCACGGCGGCCGCAGGCCGGGCTAAGCCGCGCGGCGGCGGCGACGGGGCCGATCCGCTCCGTACCTCTGCGGGCCTTCGGGGAGTGCCGGCGGCTGCGGGCGCTCGCTCGCTCCTCCTCGATCGCGGCCGCTATCGCCGGGTCGTCCTCGCCATTGTACCACACCAAAAGCTCCTCGCCCGCCGCGATTGGCTGCCGGGACACAACACAGGGCGGGCGGCCAATCAGCGCGCGCGTTGTTGGCGGGGCGGGGAGCGGCTGCGGAGGCGCCCACGGCGCGGCCCCCGCCGAGCCTCGAGGGCGCCGCCCCGCGCGCCCCCTGCCGGGCGGAGGGCGCAGAGCGCAGAGCCGAGCGCGCCCCGCCCCGCCCCCGGACCGCGCCGGTCACACACACAGAACAGCACGGAAACAGCCCCAAATAACCCAAAAACAACACAAAAACAACCCAAAACAACACAAAAACACTCCAAAACAACCCAAAACCAACCCAAAACACCCCAAAAACAGTCATGGATTGTAACACAGACACACACACAGAGAACAGCACGGAAACAGCCCAAAAACAACCCAAAACCAGCCCAAGAACAGCCCAAAACAACTCAAAACCAGCCCAAAACAACCCAAAACACCCCCAAAACAGTCATGGATTGTAACACGGACACACACACAGAGAACAGCACGGAAACAGCCCAGAAACAACCAAAAAATAGTCACGGATTGTAACACACATACAGACACAGAACAGCACCCAAACACCCCAAAAATACTCAAGGATTGTAACACAAACACACACACACATACACAAATAACAGCACGGAAACAAGCCCAAAAACAACCCAAAACACCCCAAAAATACACATGGATTGTAACAAACAGACACACAGAACAGCACGGAAACAGCACGAAAAACTGCCCAAAAACAACCCGAAAACACCCCAAAAATACGGATTGTAACACACAAACAGACACAGAACAGCACCCAAAACCACCCCAAAAATACTTATGGATTGTAACACACATACAGACACAAAACAGCACCCAAACACTCCAAAAACAACCCAAAAAGTCCTCATGGATTGTAATACACACACACACACACACCCCCTCAAGCTGAAAAAAAAAAATCATTTAAAAAAATCACCCCTTTAAAAATTCACAAGAAAACTTTGAAAAACCCCACAAAAGAGATAAGACCAAACAAAGACCAGAAGAAGACAAAAATAACACCTCAAAATAGCAAAAATAAATAACAGAAAAAAAATCGCGTTAAAGAAGATATCACAAAAAACCCCCAAAAATCACAGGAAAAAAAAATCTGAAAAATCCTGGAATGTTAAGGGGTTGGAAGGGACCCTAAAGTCCATCCAGCTCCATTTCCTGCCATGGCCAGGGCCACCTCCCACTGTCCCAGGCTGCTCCAAGCCCTGTCCAGCCTGGCCTTGGGCACTGCCAGGGATCCAGGGGCAGCCCCAGCTCTGGGCACCCTGTGCCAGGGTCTCATCACCCTCACAGGGAAAAATTTCTCATCATTGAACCTAAATTTCCCCTCTTTCTATTTGTATCCATTGCTCCTTGGCCCATCACTACAGCTCCTGACAATACAGAGATAACATCAATACAGTTATAGTCAATATTAATACAATTATATAGTTAATTATTAATACAGTCCTCGTGTTAATAATTCATACACTGTTGTTGTTATTATTATTACTTTTGGCATGAACCTTCCAGCTGTAATGTCCCAAATTGTGGTTTGCCTCAAATAGTGACATGGATTTAAATCCCAGTGCTCACTTCTATGGATATTTACTGTTAATTCTGTTCAGAGAGGAGCCAGGTTGGGACAAACATACCTACCCTTTACAAAGCATTCAATAATGCTGATTAATTACAATATAATAATAAGTTCCTGCTCAGACAGCCACTAGAGCTGGGATCTGGAACAAAATCTAAAGATCCAGGAAAAGACTGTCACAGTGGGTTATTGGGAAAAGAGATAATTACATGCCTAATAAATCCACTTCACCACAAAAATCAAAGGTTTGTTTGCCATTCCAAATTGATTATTTCTATTCTTTTTAATAATTTTTTTTTTAAATCACAGACTAAATTAGTCAAATGGGCATCACTGCAAATGTTACTCATACTCCCAGCACTGCCAACAAAAGAAACTCTATTGATCAGTTCATTTCATATGCTCCTTAAAATATCAGACTCAAACGAGTAAGTCTCCAAGTTGGCAAACCAAAGATTTTAACTAACTTTTTAAATCTTCCTCATTGTTTCTCCATTTCCTGAAGCATTTTACCCAAAACCAAGAAAAATTTAAATGCCTTAGCTTTAATTCCCCTCTTTCAGGGCTTAATGAACACGGGGCTGGTGGAGACCAGATCCAATTTTCAGTCTTGACATCAGAGCAAAGGGTGGCCTCGGCCTATCAGTCCCAGTCTGAAGCCAAAGGGTAATTTTGTACCAAGAAGAGAAGTAGGATTTCTTTCTTCTACAGCCCATTTCTTCGTGGGTCTCAGAGCACAGGATGAAGGTGATAATTATCACCATACCCCCCAGACACTGGAACAACAAGAGGTGCAAGATCCCAACAACTAAGGGAAGAGTGAGTTATAACATAAGCAAAGCCTATGGCTTGGCTTCCTTGACTTCCAGGGGCCTGATAGGATAAATAGTGGCAAAGTTATTTGCATGGCCTTGGAGCTGGGGAGCAGCAAGGAATGCAGCAGAGTTGTCTGATGCAAAAAAACCCCTTATCATCTAAAAAATATACAAAGCCAGACCAAAGATCTGGATGAGGTTTCAGGCAATGCAAACATAGGGTGGTAATGAGCACCTAATTTGTTGGCTGCATGGCTGGAGCTAACGTTGAACTTGATGAATTTAGTTTTATTGTGACTGCTCTAGAATCTAAATTAAGCCCTCTAACCTTGTACTTCTAAAATGAGATGCAGCAGCAGCTTCTCAACCAGACAATTAAAGCTGTTCCCTCAGCAGCAGGATGAGAGGACTGCACTGAGCAAGAGCCACTTGTACCACCACTCTTCCTCATGACAGCCTCCAGGAACAATTCCAAACCCCAACCTCCTCCAAACTATTCCCTACAGACCCTTGGTGTAGCAGTGTCAGGCTGGGACAGCCTGGCTAAAAAAGGTATGAATTGTGGAAGGCTCATTAGGTTAATTATTCCCACGCAGTTTTTTGTGCTTTTTGTTTTAACTGCAACATTTAAGTGTCCTTAATCTGAGTATTTTCTGTTCAAAAGGCTTACAGTAAGTTCAAAATTTGAGAGTAATATCCTAATAAGTTACTAACCTAACCTAAGAGGTTCCAGCACAGATTGTCTAAAAATCCATTAATTGTGCACATTCAAGCACTCGAATGTGTCTGGTACAGACTGAGATGGGCATTTGCCTGCCTGACCTCATCAGAGTATCAGTTTTTCACCACAGACGTTGCATTTTACTGTGATATTGTGCTTCTGCACCTGGCTGTGGCCTCATCTCACCAAACATAACCAAAGTGAACAGTCTGACATTGACTTGTGTGAATCTTTCACACTCTATAACCCAACATTATGTTGTTCTCTCCTGTGTAACAGGGAGGATCTTCAGGTATTATAAACCTGTTGGGCAAAGCTGTGTCCCACAAGCAAATTAATTTTATTTTAATCAGGGACAGTTTCATAGCCAAGCTTCTTCAGAAGACTTTTTGAAACTGAGTTTTCACCGTATTTTACTTTTTCTAGAATTCAGGTTTTGTCCTGTGTGCAGAACAACACTGCATAGCAACTTCCTCTCATGAGCAGAGGCAGAAAGAGCTGAAACTGCACCATGAGTTTAAGTTCAGCTCTCACACAGACATCCTGGGGAAAGCAGATGCAAAGCAGCCCTCATCCCTTGAGGAAAGATGAAGAGAAGATGGAAGAGAAAAACATTTGCTTGTGCTCACTCACAAGTTCTATTCCATTCTATGACTATTCATTGCGAGCAGGGAACAGGGAAGTTGAAGCTCTACAGTTCTGAGGTGGTTCTACACCAAGCAAATTTGAACTTTGTTATCTCAGCAATGAGGCTTGGAAATCACCCTGTTTAATTTACACATTTAAAACCTAGAAAAAGCTGAAGGAAACCTTGGGAAAAATAAGACCCCATGACTATACTTTCAATGATTCAAGGTAAAGCAGAACAAAATTGCACACAAGCAACTTGAATTCTCCTTTGGGGGTAAATAAAACCTGTGCTGTTTATTTGTCAGCAAGTGGAATTCCCCTAAATTTTTGAATTATGATAAAGATCAGGAAAGAACCACGTGTTCATATCTGGGCAGGTAAATTGACAGCAGGTTTGAAATGGCAGTGTAGAGATCCTGACATTACATGCAAAGGATAAGGACATTTAAGATGTTTTTTATTACATCTTTTGTCTCAGTTAGCAGTAAGGTGTGACCAGGATAAAATTCATCATAAGTTTCAAGAGACAACAGCCAAAAGAACAAAAGGATATTCCAGTGCTGAGACAAGGTATTTGTTATTCTGTTAGCAGTGCTCAGCCCCTTTTAGCAGTACAGCTATTTCCAAAGTACAATATCATCCATCAGATAAACAAATTTTAAATATGTGAATGCTTGTCTCTGTCAGGACTGAAACTTTTGCAGAAAAGATTTAATGAGAAATTTAAAATGTCAGAGTGACTCCAGAAAGCACATATTAATGGGACTATTAGTGGGACTTTGGGCAAAGGCAGAGGAAATCCAAGATAAAGTGTCCAGAGAAATCAAGGCTGGTTACAGTCATACTGGGAGCCTGTCTCTGTGAATAAACACTGCAGAGAAGTCAGTAGCCTGGCTGGCAATAGTGAACCTCTACTTGAATGCCATTACAAAGTTCAGAAAAGGTGTTTAGAAGGTTTCTTCAATCTAGCTTGAGTGACCTAAAAGATAACATTGAACTACTGCTGTATTGTCCCATAAACTTCAAAACTGCATGGGATCAGCTCACTTTTTTATTAAGCAAACACCAGTTACTTACAGATACTGTTGGCCTCACAAGGAAATGGAAGGAACAGCAATAGTGCAAAAATAAAACTGCATATACCCCAAACAACCAAAAGTATTTTCAAAAAAACCTAAGTCAAGCTACACACACTCACTGCTAGGAGGTCTTGATCAGGGATTCAAGAAATACTTTAGAGTCACAATATTCTTAACCTAATATGCTCCACCATTATAGTTACAGCATTTTTTTTCTTGATTTGGGAGATAAAATGCTCCAGGAATTACACCCTTTTTCCTGCCTCCTCCTCACTCCCTGAACAAAACTGAAATGGTATAAAACCTTGAGAAATAGTTTCATGGAGCTACCCATAAAATTCTCTTGACAGCCAAACTTTGTCAAACAATAAAAATAATTGATTACTGCAAAAACATCCTCAGCAGAAAAAAATCTTTGAATCTATAAAAATATCGGAAAAACATTTATTTCATATACCCTGCAGTTTTTCATTCTAGTTTGTATCAAATTTGGTGCTACAGCAAATCATTACCCAGTAAGACAGACTTAGTGTTGATACATTTATCAGTAAATCTAATGTCAACTGTATTGCCAGATAAGAATTTACACCAAACATGTGGTACCATCTGCAGCGTTTCCAACGCGTTTCGCGAAACGTCTCAAAAGCTTTGTTTGCTATAAATACTAAGAAAAAAAACAACAACTTTTCTAACAGAATAAAAAAGAATCAATAAGAAAAGCTAACAAAGCAGCATTCAGACGGTGATACCTTCAAACTCTTGTAGTAAATGGTCCTGTTGATTTCCAAGGGAAAGAGATTCTGCTCCTTGCCCGAGCGAGCCCAGTTGATGTAACGCAGCCAGTTGCCCTTCTCGGGGTCGGTGGCATCCACACACATCCAGCCCAGGTTGGGGTAATACACCTGTGACACAGACAGCACACACACACACAGGACACCTGGGTAGCCCTGGGAAGGGGTTTAACCCTTTAAGTGCGGTGGAAATAGATGCACAGCGTAGCTGTGCATCTATTTCCACCGCACTTAAAGGGTTAAACCCCTTCCCGCAGCTGCATTTGGAGGTTGCACATTTCCACCGTACTTAAAGGGTTAAACCCCTTCCCGCGGTTGCGTTTGGAGGTTGCACATTTCCACCGTACTTAAAGGGTTAAACCCCTTCCCGCGGCTGCGTTTGGAAGAGAACTTCAAGATCATTGAGTCCAACCCCTGACACCTCAACTAGACCGTGGCACCGAGTGCCGTATCCAGGATTTTTTTTTGGATATCCAATTCAGGGCCTGCAATCTCACCTCTGAAGGCTTTGGGCTCAAAAGCCAAAATCCTTAAAATATTTTACACTTTCTATTCAGTTCGGCAAGACTGAAATGATAATCTAGATTTTGCATTTAGTAAATTGACTGATTTTATGATATGAAGGCCACAGAGCTTTATTTTTACCACCTGATGAACTGGAAAAAGTAATTATATAGAAGCTAGAAGTATTTGCTTTATTTGGAAAGATATGGGAAAGGGTACTTTATATTTAATCTTTCTTTAGGGTATAAAAGAACATTTTAGCTTTTCAGAAATCTTGTGATCACCTTAAAAAACTGCCCATGCCAATAAAATTCTGCATGTTCCAAGGTGCTGTGTAAATCCTTTGGTTTTTGTTCTTGGGGAAAAGGCTGACACCTGCTCCTGATTTGCAGTAAAGCAAGAAGGGGACTTGACAACTTCACAATTTTCTGATGCCAGCTGACTCTGCTTCTCTTTCAAGATGTTATACATCTCCCACTCTTCTTAAAATCCAAGTTAGATGCCCATAACAAGAGCTATCAGTGGTATTTTTCCTTCTCTGCTTTTCCAGAAGTCCAAAAATGTTGTAGCTTTTTATTTTCTGATACTTTACAAGTAATTCCAAGGCTTTTCAAACTGTTCTCCAATTTCAATCTTATGTACACTTCTACAACAGCTTAGAAAATCCCTACTTAATAAATTCAATTTTTTTGGTGCTGATAATACTGTTGATTTAATGAAATAGAATTTTATCAATAAAAGTGAAGCTTTAATAAATATACAACCATCTTAGTTTCTTCCCAAGTAAACAGAAAACATCTCCCTTACTTAAACTATTCCCAGCATGGATTTCATCAGCTGACTTTTGAAAGAATGCTCACCAGCACACCCAGCCCTTGCAATATGAGAGCATAAACAACATCCCAGGTGAGATTGCAAAAGGAATTCTTTTGGTTAAAATGGAAGAGAGGAGCCAAAGAATGCTGTGGGAGAGCTACACAGATATGGAATATATGTCTAAAGGTAATTACTGATTACTTTTATATATATATAACCCTATTATGTTTTTATATTCCTTTATTATGAGTTTTCCACAAATCAAAATACTGTATTGCTTTTCTAATATACAGAATATAACAGTCTAATTTACAGAACATTGTTTAAAGGACTTGTGCACCGTGAGAAAGAAAATAGCTCCAACTGCTCTCCATAGCATTGTGACTTTAGGGGATTCCTGTATCCACAATAAAACCCACTGAGCACAGATGTGCCAGTCATTCCAAACCAGCATTTCCCTCCCTTTTCAAACACTTGTTCTCATCTTCCCAACTGTGGCTTTTTTTACCAGTAGAAAAGGAAAATATGTTCTCTCCTCAGACACCAGAGGCATACACTGACACAACTCATCTTTTTCACAATGAGCCTCTGGTATGACAGTTCAAAATCATTAAAATTGACTGGAGATGCCAGTTTTAGAAGCCTTATTTTTTATTCAGATTAATTTGACTAGAGAAGCAGATGGAACACCTGTGGAAAAGGTTGTTCCCCAACTAGAGTGTCCATGTCCTGAACTGCTCCTACACAGCACCATCCTTCTACAAACCATCTTTTCTGACAGTTGAGATTCTGGACTGGTTTCAGGTATCAGCATATGGGACCAACTGTTGCAGTCTCATTTTAGCTGCTTTTTTCCTAACTCTAAAATCACTATTAAAGCAACACACAATTACTCTGGAATCTAACAAGGGTTCCCATTATCACCTGCATTGCAAACCAGGAAACTCTCAAACAGCTGGCTTGCAACTATCACTTCTCAACACTAACTGAAAAAATATCCACCATGAACATTCAGCATCCAGCACTGAGAACCAATTGTAAGGTCAATAATTTACTTGACTGATCCAATCTCCCCAAATGTTCCTGTAACAGATCAGAACTGTGATACACACAGTGGAGTTTGTGATAGCCAGAGCTCAGTGCAACAAACATTACACTTGAAAACTGTATTGCTTTTCTAAAGGGCAATTTGCATTTATGAGAATGTCCTAGATCAATTCCTGTGATAGAGGTTAAGTCTAAGCTCTGTGCATGTTTTTAGTGGTTTAGGGAGTTCCATTTTTGCAAGCAAGGGGACAGAAGGACGGATGACCATTAACAGAGACTCAGCCTAAAAAATCCACGTTCCAGAACATTCTTTGCCACATTTCTCCACCCTTCCTCCCCCAACTATTAATTTTGCTAAAACCATGTCTTATGTTTGTCTTCAGAAAGACTGGAGAAGCCTTTGGAAGTGGTAAATGAACTGCCTTAAAGACACTGTAGATGGGATTCAGCTCCAGATTATGACATTTACATTTTGAAATCTACATAATACCCAAGTCTCCTGACTACCAGTGCAGCTTCCAGAGCTGCTCAGCTGCCCAGACAGCACTTGCTTCAAGGCAAGCCCAGCACAAGAAATACTGCAACACTTGAGAACTCTTACAAAAACTCCAAAAACTGGTTTTCAAAGAGCTAAATGAGGAGAGATGTGGCTTCCTCAAGAGATTCTACATCCTCCTGATTTCCTTAATTTCATAAGCAGTTGACAGCACTCAGTTGCACTCAAGAGTTCAAGCCAACAAAGATCAGCAACAACTCTTACGGGCAGCTGTGATCCACACACAGAATATAAGGAATAGAGCAATTTCAAACAATGCCAATGGTTTATAAAGCTTTTAATTCAGAATAGTTCTTCCATCCCAGTGTCTATAAATAACCTTTAGTAATGGCAGTAACAGATGGAAATTACCTTACACCAAGTTTATTTCTAAAATGTCTGGAAAAATAAAGTCTGAATAGAAAATATTGACTGGATAACAGGCACATTTTTCTATTGACAAGCTGTTTCTTACCTCCCACATGTACACATTGCTCTTAACTTGTGATCTTTTTTTCTTATCACCAACAAATGGTCCAAACTTCTTGCCTTTCAAAATTGACTTTGTTGCCCAGACACCTGAGGAGACACATATCAGGAGTTAAAACTAATCTAAGTTATTCCAAGCAAATCTTCTATTCAAAATTCATATTCCTAAGATCATTACATGTGTCTGTCTTGGACTGGGGAGCTGTCCATTCTTCCCAAGAGGAATTATTTCAGACAAATACAGCAGACATCATCTCTTCCCAGCACAGGGGGGCACCAGGCTTTCACAGTAACTCCAGTTTATGTGAGTTACTGTAAAAAAAAAATCTTCCTTCTCTTTTCACAGCTGCAGCACTCACCAAGCCGACTCTTGTCAACAGCAGATGGGAAGAGCCTCACATCCTCAGGAAGGCCCCTCAGCACGTGCTCAGGAACATCATCCAAGGTCTCCACAGCAACAGGGGAGTCAGTTGTGGTCTGTGAGTCAAAAAGCCAACCACCATTAACAGGCAAAAGCAACTCCACAACAGGTGATCAACCCACACGAACTTCACAACCTTCTGGCTTGCAATGAAAGTAAAATTTCCAAACTCACCGCACTGAGGATAATTTCATATATTAGCAATCACTTATTTCCCTTTTTCAAAGAATGATTCCAAGCATACTCAAACTAATCAGTCCCCCAAAACCAATCTAACGAAGGTTCTTATCTTGCCTTACGTGACAAAGTGCCCCTTGTGAGAAAGTGACTTCAGAAAAAAACTAAACTCAAAGTTTCAAAAAGTGCATACAGTTAAAAAATCTGAAAAGTTATTTGCTCTGTGGATTGAAGTGAGCATGCTGCAGTAAATTAACCAGGAGAACTTGCACTTGGGATACCCCATCCACTCTGCCACAGCCTAGCAGGATGCTCTGCCTGGAATGGGACATGACAATGCCCCATTTCCAAACCCATCAGTGAATGGAGGGGGTTGAATAATGCTAAAACCAGGCAGACCCATCAATCCCAAAGTTAAACGTCCTGAGGGTGAGGAGAAGATGTGGCAGAGCTGACAAAACACCCGATAAAGGAATAGACAAGTGATGCTACTGATAGCCTGCCTAAAGCTGCTGAGCTGGCACAGCTGGCACAGCTGGCACAGCTGCCTGCCACTGTCCCAGGCTGCTCCCAGCCCCACCCAACCCGGCCTCGGACATTTCCAGGGATCCAGGGGCAGCCCCAGCTTCTCTGAGCACCCTTGCCATGGCCTCCCACCTCTCATGGCCAATCCAAACCTACTCTCCATTCCCCTTGTGCTGTCACCACAGTTCTTGCTGATTAAAGTATGTGCATGTCAAGTTTACTGCTCTGCAACAAGAGAATAAAAGGGTTTTAATAATAATTATTTCAGTATCATAAATGTTACTCGCATTTCCTACGTCAAGTAACAGCTCAGAACTTTAGACAGCAGCTTATAATTAATACAAGAAGTTTTGAGATATTTTTATATTAAAGTTTGATAGGCAATATAAATCTAATAAATTATTTACTGTCCAGTAAGTGACTAGTTCCATTTTATGGAGCCTCCAAGGTTCAGTATTATTCTTATACTATTATCCATAGTATTACTACTACACTTGTCATAAAATAACCTGCTCCCTATTACCCACTTAGAATTAACAAAACACTATTTCTGATAGAAATTACCAGAATTTCAAAGTTACACAAATGCAAAGTTTCTTATAAAATCCATTCACATTCTGAAAGAACTGTGCTTGGTGAAAACTAAGCTTTTATTGAACCACATGCCCTAAAATAACTCCCTGCCTTCTGATATGGACCTCTAGTAATTCTGCTCAGGAACAAACACTGGTGGTAATGGCAGGAACAACTCTAATATAAAGGATGTTATACTTGACTCCTGAACACAATTTTAGGAAGAGGTTAAACTAAGAAATTTTTCCAAATAAACTTTAATTTTTTTGGCAATTACTCTGGCTTGTACCTATAACCATAAAGCAGATACAATAGTAGTTTCCACATACTTAATAAACTACTGAGTAATACTCAGAGTACTTTCCAGTGAGTAGTTTTGAAATACACTGAAAGGTTACTGGACATATATTTTAAAATGCATCTCAATGTGTTACCCAATTTCATTTTTTTCTCTCTAAAATAAAACAGATAAAACTTCTCAGCCCTTGCTCCTCAGCACCCAGTCTCTGTCAGGGTGCTTACATTTGAAAACCCAATTTCCTGAGTGGAGTTAAAAGAACAAATCTTCTGCCAGTTTTAATTGCAACAACGATGAAAATTATAAAACTGGAGTCAGAGCAAGGTTATTCTAGTGCTGCCTTCATAAGCCTTAACAGCTGCACAGAGAGCTCCCAGAGAGCTATTTGTAGGGGAGAAAGACCCCCAAATTGGAAACCATGGAAGGGAGAGAATGCCAGAAATCCCTTCCCATGCAAGAGTGCAGACACCAGGGATAAATACTTATTCATTAGCTAGAATAGCTGAAAAGCTATTCAAAGCACAGCAAAGCTTTATTTTGCTCTTCTGACGACCAAAAGGAAAAATATTGATGAAAGCAGCCTGATTTTCAGACATCTGTTTGCCTTGAACTGATAGGCAAGAAGCCATGTCTCAGCTGAAAAAGAAATATGCTCTTCTCAGCATATCAAAGAAACCTCAACTTCTTCCCAGTACATTACCCAGCATTTCATCTGGGGAGAAACAAGCTGGTTTTTCCCAGTGGTTTCTAACAATTTTTACACAGAAATAGAAAAGGATGGCTGACAGCTCTCAGAATGGTGCACTTGCAGTTTCAAGCTAAAAGCAGGATGGTTTTTTGGCTGGGTTTCATTTGGGGGTTTGGTTTCTCTGGAGTGATGCCTGGAAAGGCTGACCTGGGACAGAGACTAGACAGAGCAAAAGGAATAAAACAGGAATTAATTGAAAGGATCCACCTTGGGCACTGCAAGAGCCTGCCTGGGGCTACATCCAAATCAAGCCCAAGATGGATCCCAGTCATGAGTTTTTACACTTTTTAAAGTTTTGGTTCATCTACATATTGGGGTCAGTTGTCCAACCACAGCCCCAGGTTATGAAGTCTCAGCCCCGTGGCTTGCCCCCCTCTCCCTTGCCATTGTTTCTGCTTTCTGGGTTCCAGTTGTCCTTGATTCTCTAGCTGGGAAGGGACTGTTCTGTCTAATTACTCTGTGAAGAGAATTTCCTAAAACCTAATATGAAGTTTCAGAATTACACACCAAGCAGCAGAGAATATAAAAAATAGAAAAGCTAAAATCCAAGGCATCAGAAGAGTGTTGGTTTTGGTTTGGTGTTTTGATGAGCAGCTGAAAATCTCAAATCTCAACCCTGCAAATAAATTTTAACCTATCAGAACACACTCACCTGATTCAGACTGAAGTGTACATCACTGTGAAACATCTTTGATTTTCCTGGTTTATTCCTTAATAGTCACACCTTTTAACTGCAAATATCCCCAAACTGTTCTACCATTTAAGAAGTGTATTTGTATGGAGTAGCATACAATCAGAAATTTATTGTGCATCTACCGACCTAAATCAGAGCTTAGCAGGACATTCAGAGAACACAACACTCAGACTCATCCAGCACTTTTATATCAATGGATTTCACAAGTACTAGAAAACTGGACATGGCCTTTACAAACAATACATTTCACACCTCAAATGAATGGTAATAAGCAATCAAATTCAAAACAGTGAAATTAACAATTTAGTTCAGTTAAATCAGTGCAATCTCTTTTTATTTGCAATTTAGATGTAGCTACTTGAAACACTTTCCAGATCACAACTTGTCCCCAAGCAATGTCTGCCTACCAAAAAGAAATACTGTATTTCAATCACTTTTCTACCAAGACTTAACAATGACTTTAAAATTTATTTTTCTGTTTACAAAATTCAGCTCTTGATAAGGGTAGTGCACTTGTGCATGTCCTACAGCCAAACTTTTGCATTTATCTAAAGCCTTAACACAGTATTTTTCACTCCTTCCAAGGTTGCAATTTTGAATACAAAAACACCTAAAGCTTATTTTACTTTTAAGCTTCTTACTCTGAAGTTCATCAGAAAATTACATTCTAGCATTTAAATCAGCCACTATGAAGTGACTTTAGAACAATGCCAAAGGATCACTTGAGGGCTGAAGTGGTGCCTTAACTGAAACAATCTTTTCCTGCTTGCATCAAATCCAGAGTCCAGACACTCTTAGAGTACCTTTTACTGCATTAAGCAACTTTTCACACCACTTTCAACATAATTGTATTCATGAATCAACCACAGAGTAGTTTATAAGGTTACAAACAGTATTTAAGCAGGGTACAAAAGGCACCTGCAACAAGATATTTACAGGTGATAAAAGATTAGAGTGAAAAGGAAAGGAAGCATCCTGAACAGTGCAATAAATGACAGCCAGCCAGTTAGTGCCATGTTAGGGTGGAAAGAGGATTAGGATAAATGAGAAGATAAAGGAAAGGATGCCACTGAAGAGGGAGGAAGGGAGGAAGTGGCAGGGAAGTTACAAGAAGCAGCTGAGGAAGGGCAGCTGAGGCAGCTAGCACAGAAAAGCAGACAGGGCTCTCCCTGTCCAGGCTTACCTGGCTACCCCTCTTTGCCACAATTTCACACAATTTGTATGCTTGAAAATTAAAGATGTATTGGAAATATCTGAAATAATCATTGAAAAATTTAGCAGGAATGGGGGGAGGAAGTTTCAGTACAAGTGCAGGTGTGCTTTGTTCCTGTATTCCTCAGCACTTCCTGAGTAACTGCCCATGCTGTTTACCCAGCACAACCCAAATTCCTCCTACTCTGTCTTACTGCACTCTGACATAATGCTACCAATCAAACCCCATGCGTGCTTGGAGTTTTTAAAATAAATTATTCAGCTATACTGATGAACTAATTTACATATTAGAGGAAGATCTCTTTTTAAAAGATGGCACATACTGCCTATCCTGAGACAACAATCTTCCAAGAAACCCAAAAACATGAACTCCAACTACAGATGGGGCTTTTTTAATCCTTCTTCTCCTTACAACAAGAATGCCATATTAAATAATTTAAGAAAAGGTTTTCCTTCACTACTTCAAGATTAAAACTAACACAAAACTACCAGTCTTTTCATATAAATCAAATCAACACCAGCCCAGTTAGTTTCATGGTCACCAAAGTCACACCAAAAGCAGAGACAAGCAGAATGAAAGAAATATGAGAACACTTGAAAGATCTTTGGCATCAGGCAAAAAACATTTCTTATACAGACCTGGCACTACAACTTGCCAACAGTGAATGAAATGACAAGGGCACTGCAAGAAAAAAACACCACAGGGTTGATGCTAAATACACACTTAATATGAATGGTCAGTGAACAATTAAAAGCCATATGGGCTCCACAAGCTTTGGAAACCAAAGGTGAAAGCCAGAAACACCAAGAAGTCCCTGAGGAAGTCTCATCTCACCCTTTAACTGTAAGATGACACACATCACAGCATGGCATAAATGAGATCAGCAGTTCCCATCAGAAAAATGAGGACTTTTGATACAGCACAGAAATCTGACTTAATTCTAGAAACAAATCATGGTTGTTATAGATAGGTAATGTGACTGACTGGCTCGAAGAAACCCTAAGTTTCTTTTCCTTTTTCCATTGTCCTCACTCACATCCACAGATCCTATTATGACTCATCCAAAAATCAAATTCAACATAAGAGAGGCATGACTGGATCATCAAAATCGCAAATGAAGGTTAATTGCTTGAGCCAAATGAGTTATATAAAAAGGAAAGGGGGGTTTGTTATAGATAGTTAATGTGATGGATTGGCTCTAGCAATTAAGGGATGAATATTGTGTGCATGTTAAGAAAAGTTTTATTGATGTACAGTTATGTTATTGTGATTTGGTGTCTCTGTTCTCCCCACAGTCCCCTTCCCCTCCCTTCGGTATTGCTGCCACCAGACAGCCTTGGGTGTGAGAGAGTCACACAGGGAGGGAGGGTGTGCCCATGTGCCCCCTGCATGGGATGGGAAAGGTTCCTGCTGGGGGGACACGGTGTGACAACACCTCAAGCTGCAAGAAAGGAGTCTCCAATAAAAAATGGCAAGGAAGAGTTGACTGACAGACTTTGGGAGGAGCCAGGGCTGGCTCATGCAACACCAGGGCTACAAAAGGCAGAGCAGCCATTTTATAGATGAGCAATGGCACATGGTCATACACTCCCAGTGCTTCCTCTCTTTCCTTATTCAGCCCTTTGCTGGATTTGTTAAGGTTTACTAAACCTTGGGAATTTTAAAAGTGAGGCTGTTTCTTCTCACAGGGTGTGGGAACACAACAGACAGGACACGAGGGGACATGGACACACACGTGGGAAGGAAGCAGCCAATAGTAATAATTACAGATTAGGAGCTACACTTCTGAGAGTTTTAGCAGAATCCAAACCTTACTGGAATGACTAATAAGGATTATTCCTCGAGCAGACAGAGCAATAGGCTGCTGGCTTCATGCCACTGAGTGCATCAAGACAACTCTTACAGGCCAAAAAATTTCAATTCTCAATAGAAATTTTGAAGCAGCAGTTAATCCTGCTCCCCAAAACAAACTAGTAATGTTTAAAAGTGTGCTAATCCAAATATAATTTCTATTTTATATATATAATCCATATTTGTCTATAGATATAATACAAGTATGCTTTTTCATAATATACATTTCAACACTCTGGTAGAGATTATATTTTGCTTTTTACCTTTTTAATAGTACAAATATATTGAAGACTTTTTACTTTAAATCAGAGGAAAAAAGCAACAGTAAACATCCCACCAACCCATTCCATGCTGTCATTACTTATGCATATACCTCTGTGACTTCACAGAAAAGACACTTCAGCAAATGCTAACTGCACTCAGGCCTGCTGCTGCTCAAATAAGGATAATAAAAGCACACATCAGCTACAGACATTGAATTATACAAAGCAGTTTATACAACTGTGTAAAGCTTCTGTTCATGGGTGAGTTTTTCAGCAAAGTAAAAATGCCTTTCCTGCAGTCAGATACCCTATGGTCACAGTCCCATGCCAAAGTGGCTTGGTAAGATCAGGCAGAGAGAGGAGGAGCTGTGAGAAGAATTTGAGGCAACATGTACTTTTTCTAAATCTCTAAGTAACACAATTGTGTGTGACAGACAAACTGATGGACAATTCCCACTTGGATACACACATGCAGAATAAAATGCTGCAGTTGGTGCTGATTAGAACAACACCCTCCAGTCAGGATACTCGTGATGCACACAGCAAAGTGCTGCTCCACAAAGGAAATGTGATTTCCACTTGGTTCTAGGAGAAACACTTCAGATTTCAGAAGTGTGGCATTTCCCAATCAGTCAATTTGTGCCAGATTGTTTACTGCACATTTGAAAAAGGAATGTGATTACAAAAAGATTTTAAAAAATTGAAGTCTTCAATTTTCAAACCACTTTTATAAGGAACTGAATTATTATGTACAGCTTCAGGAGGAAATAGAATTTTCTGGAGCAGCGTTCTTAGAAGAGGTGCCAGGAGTAATAACTTACACACTGCTAAAGGAAATTCACAAAAACCTCGAATCCATGAAATAACAGACATCTCAGAAACATACATGCTGTAGAATGGATAATTATGAAATTTAATGAGGCCAAAGATTTTAAAGAACGTTTTTTAGTGGATGATTTACTTTTCTTATTAATAATTAACTGTGCTAAGCATTTTGATAAAGTCTTACAATTCTACTCACCTGGTTCATTTTGAATTCCTGTTGTGTTCTGAAAAGATATAACAAAGAAACTCCTTTGATTACATGAACCTACAAAGAAAAACAGACAATTGTAATATGTGCCTATGTACAACTCACATTGAACTGAAGCACACACAGAGCTGTAGTTTCTCTTCCTAAATTTTCTGTAGAAAAGGAGCATTTTGCTTTAGAAAAAAACTCTGCTCCAAGCTACAGTTTTGTTATTACAGCTCAAATGTGTCTGAATAATCTCAAAATGGATATTTCACATGAATCTTTTTCCTGCTTTAAATGATGATGTAACAGATGTGCTCAGGTAAGGCTGTTCCATTTGCTTTTCAAAGTAAGTTAGTTTGCTCAAGCTTGAGTACTTTTAAGAACTTAAGAAGTCAGATCTCCATAGAATTTTATATCAAAGCATTATGGAAGGCCCTATGTGGTTTTCAAATTTAGAAAATGCATGTATTGAGTCCCTACTCTTCTATATTGGAAACAGAAAAATATTCCTTGAATTGAGCTGTAATGAGGTATTTTATTACACTAATGCATTTTACATTCCTTTTTCATAAATGCCTGAAATTTCAAAAGGTATCTGACAAAAATCCCTAGTTAAAATAGGCATCAAATTTGGAAACTCCCAGCTTGAGGGAAAATTAATCAGAATGATGCCATGTCTAAGGGTCGAGATTAACTCACTTCCTTTCTTTGTGAATGTATAAAAAACAGCTTTTTTGCAAATTAGGCCATAAACACTTTTAGTCCCATTGTCATACAAAATTTTCAATAAATTAACATCCCCCATTTTTGAAAATTAACTGGTCCCTCATCACTTAAAGCACTTTATTCATCTACGGCTGTTTCTCCCCTGTCTTTAGTTTTCCAACTGTAACAATGATCAACTGCATTTTTTTACTAAGTATTCTGCATAAGTACTAATATTTAATTTAAAATATGCCCAAGCAAAATCTACTCCAAATAAATTTCACATAATCCCTCACATCTATGCACTGAAAGAATTCTTAATGCTGTGCAAAAGTGACAACACTGCCAAGCATCATTCAAATGTTACACTGCTTAAGAAATCCAGAAGGAAAAACGTCCTTGGAAATGGTATTTGTGTTGTAACAGCTCTTCCAGGATTAACTCCTTTTGTCCCAGAGTTTCCATACTACACGAGCATTTAAACAAAGAGCTGAAACATCTGTATTTCTGTTCCACTTTTGCAAGTGATTCTGAGGGATTTAAAGTTTGCCAGCAGAGACGACTTCTGGGCTAAGGAGCTCCATGCGAACAGCTTGTACACATCCAAAGGAAAGCATTCCTTCTGGAATGCAGCATTACTAACATGCTGGCTTATTTCACTACTGCAGTCACTATAAACATCTGTACTGAAGCTGGGGCCTGAGCATCAGGGAAAACCCAGCAATCTTATTCATTGTTCATTGTGACAAAACCCCTGCACCGTTTTATAAATGAAATCACTTGTGTAGCAGGAGAGGCGTTCAATAATTTCCTGGTATGAAACCAAACTTACTTTTAGTATCAAATGTCTCATTTTTCTATCCTGTTAGAATATTTTTATCCAGTTATTCACATAAAGTCAAGAAAAGCCAGAATATCTTCTGTAGCACAGCCTGAGGAGCACCAGGCTGTGGCTGGCACGAGTTTATGCTGTTACACAAACCTGAGTTTCTGTTGGTACTGTCTCCACCTGCCCATTTCTGCCTTTTCTCCTCCCTTTTACCCAAAGATCATCGTTCCCTCCATGCCACAGTCTCAGCTGCTCACATGATCACTTCTGATCACAAATCTGGATTTTGAAAAGCAGACAAAATCTATACTAATTCGAAAATACTTTGCTTAGAATTAACTGTTAACAAAGAATGTTCAAAACAAAAACAATGGTATTTTTACGAACTTTGTAAATATTTCATACAACTGGTTGTATCCAAACCTCTCGATGGTATTTCTTAGGAGATGATAACACATCTTAATGAACTGATGTAGTTAAACATTCACACAACACAGTTTAAGCAGATTCCTAACAGACTGTACTACTCTATATTCTTTCTACCAATTAGCAGTGGAACCACTTGAGAATAAAACACAATTAGGTGAGAAATTAGATTTGTAGTAAACCAAAAGCTTTAACAAGTATTTTCAAAGCTATTAATTTAAAATACACCCTTCATATTAAAATTTTATACCTGCAGTTCTGCTTTTTTTTTCTATCTCTTCCACATTACTTACTTTGTTAACAGTGGAAACTATGTGGAAAGCAAGATTAATTGCACTGGAAAAGAAATAAAATTAATAGTGTACAGTCTTATGTGCAGCCACTAGCTTTCTTTCTACCTAAAACAAAATGTAAGAACAGAAGTATCTGTAACAGTAAACTTGGGGTTGAACTCTGGTAAACAGAGTTCAACAAACTCAAGAAAATATGAAAGAATTCTACAGCTGCTGCCCAAACATTAGCTCCCAGCACGATCAGTGAGCACCAACCAGGTTTTTACTCTCATCACTGCAAGCAGGAACAAGCCCTGACTCCCTACAGAAATGAATTCCCAGCTGCACAGCCAGGTCCTACGCAGGATTTCCCAGAAAAGCCCCAAAGAAAACCTTGCTGCTCTGCTGTGTCATCAGGGGAAGCTGTCATCAATTAAAGGCACAGTGATGGCCCCATTAAATCACTTTTAAGGTTAGCAATAGTCAACAATTGCATTAGTGCTTTGAAAAAGTCACTCCACAGCTTTATCAAATACAGTAACAAGAATATTCATCCAAACTCTACAGCAACATAACCCAACCTATTCAAGACCTGGATTGTGTTAATAACATTTACCACAGTGAACTTCAGCACTCACTGACAGCCCTAAGAAATGAACAATAAAGGTTCTATCCCAAAACCTGAATTTTCAAAATTAATTCTCAGAAAACATTGCTAAGTTATATTGATTTTAAACTACTACTTACTGCTCAATCTCATGAGTACAACAATACTACACACTTACTCAAGACATTAAACATCTGGGAAACAAAGAAGAGAAAGGAGATCCACTGCATCATCTTAAGAGTTACAGAAAAATTCCTTTACATGAAAGGCTCAGTTTTAGGCAACAAATTATATTTATTCATGTAAGAATATACAAGGCATTTGTATTTAAGGAAACATTGTGGTGTCTAAAAGAAAATGCTTAAAGCAAAAAGTATTTTGACATTTTTTCTGAATCTATGCTTCAGAATTTTAAATATTCCCTTAGAAAACCTGTAACTTGTTAGGAATAAAGTCAGCAAACAAAAGCAAGTAATTTTATTCAAAACCAGCATTGCAGATCATCCCTTTCCAACTCAGTCAGACAGAACAGACTAATAAGCATTCCTAGGTTTTACTAAGTACACTATCTTCTGGTTTTATAAACCATATTTATAATTTCTTTATGTGGGTTTTTTTTTTAAATCCCAGAATCAAAAAGCATTTTGAAAGAGACTGCTGCTTCCAATTCAGAGAAAGGAAAAACCAGGCATGAGAGTATCAATCCTATTTTGGAAGCTGAAAATGGGACATGCATTACGTCACTGCTCCAGTAAAAACCTGTTCATTAGAGAACCAGGAACAACTTGAAATTCTCCATGGCCTGTTTTCCTAATGACCGACGTTCAGGCTGGGATACTGCACACATCTTGGCTTTGTTTCATTTTCTAACTGCAGCACATGACCATTTTTTAAACATCAGGACATCTACATGTTTTCGATTCAATACTGAAATACTCTCACCCACGAATTTTCCATGCATTAGGTGAAATAAAGGTTGCCAATTTAAAAACATAAAGTTCATGTTAACTCTAAAAGATTAAAATATGCATGTGATAGGGCATCCTGTTTCTATTGACAGGCACTTAATTGCAAAGATATTTTCAGTTACTCAAGGCTGCCTGAATAAAAACAGAGGAAAAATGGGCAGACTATGATTTTGTGAACACTAAAATCTATTACCTATTGTCCAGTAAGAAAAAAGGCTTTGCTCACTGCCACGTAACCAAATAAACTGTTACACCTCAGCAAGGTTTATTCAGGTAACCAAGATAATAAGCCAAGAAATCACCAACACAACACAAACCCCAGGTTTATTAATTAAACAGCAGCTAGTCAAGAAAAGTCAACAGAAAATAACAAGTCTCTAACAAGGGCAAATATGCAGAAATACCATTCCAATCTTCAGATATGAGTGTACTTTAATTTGACTTGAAAATGCAGTAAAACCCAATGAAAATTTTCTCAGATAAGTACACTGCTGATTTACTACTATGCAAAAAAGCCGATTTCAGTAATTTTTGTCTTTTTACAACACAGGACTCATCCTCCCACTTTTAACTACAGCATATTTTATACAGAGGTGGAGAAGAAATATTTTTCAGCTCATTTTTCAGCTTATTCTCAGTGGAGAAAAAACACATTGGTGAAAGAAATTATGTCATTTGGGGAGGTTAAGTATCAAGATCATATCTGCCTCTTCCATGAGAACAAGTTCAACAGCAATGATATTACAGTACTTTAAACAGGTTTGCCAAGGCAGGAATACATTACTGGTCATCCCTAAACCTCTCTGAATTTCTGTTTCCAACAGAGAGACACCCAATAAGCAGCATCTCCCTTTTATACACTTTCTATTACTATATCAAGGCTTTGATGTGTAACAGTGAAATGGAGACAGCACTACACTGCAGGATGGACTTCCAGAGCCATTTCAGTTCCTACAGAAAGACTTTCTGCTTTCCTTCTCTTCCATTCCCAAGCAAATTTTCAATAGTAAAAAATGGATGTGTTATACAACTGCACAGAAGTGCTTGAACATTGCTCCCCACCTTCCATGCTGAGCTGTGGAAATCTCTTCTTTGGATTCCCATTAAACATAAACCAACTCGGGAATCTTCAAACACCACACTTATCATGGCATTTCTAGCAAAGATACTGCATCCAAAGTGATGATCTGCCCTACAGTTAACATAACTAGGGTTTCACTGTAAGTGCCATTTATTTTTATGGTCAATGCTATGGACTGTGGAGGCACTGCTGTTCCAGCAAATTCTGGGAGCCATATCCTTGAAAACCAACAGGTAACTCCACCTGGTTCTCACTGCTGTCTCTGTAAGCCCAAAAGTTCTTTTGTTTCTTTAAAGTCACTCCCTAATGTATCAGTGACACAGATCTCCATCTGAAAAGTGTCAATGCTCTCACTGATTCACCATTATGCTTTTCTGCAGCTGGAAGAGCTGGAAATCCCTATACCAAGGAAAGCCCTGAATTCTTCACATGCCCATCGTTCTTATTGAAATGTTTTAAGTCAGAAGATAACAATGCATGGAATGGCCCGGGCTCAAAGAGACCTTAAAGCTCATCCAGTGCCACCCCCTGCCATGGGCAGGGACACCTGCCACTATCCCAGGTTGCTCCAAGCCCTGAACAAACCAGCCTTGGACTCTTCCAGGAATGGGGCAGCCACAAATTCTGTCAGCACCCTGTGCCAGGGCCTCACCACCCTCATGGGGAACAATTTCTTCCATGTATCCAACCTAAATTTCTCCTCTTTCAGTTTGAAACCATTACTTCTTGCAATCACTACAGTTCCTGGTGAGGAACATCATAATTACATGCCATGCTGCTGCACATCTCCACTTACCCTAATCTATTTAATATATTTGAATAAGCTGGAAAAGACTTTCCATCCAAATAACACGCCCAAAGTCCAGAGCACAGACTGAGAACAGCAAAGTGGGGCAGCATGAGAAGCACAAGCAGCCCTGCTGTTCTCTAAAGCTGTCCATTGCTGCTCACTCAAATGTGAAATAAGAGAAATAGTTCTCTTGCCGGTGAATGATCATTCAGCAAGTGCAGCCATACCACCTTCTCTTCCTTCCTCAGCAGTTGAAAACAACTTAAAGTTTTCTTTACCGCTTCAGAATGGAAATTTTGCAGCTTCATATGAATTTGAAACCACTGGAAACTTCACTGAATACCTCAGCTACCTATCCATGATGGTTATCAGCAATGCTCCACAGGCTGCTCTGGCTTCAAATAAAAAAATGCACTTAAGACACATTTCTTGAGCTGCTCTAAATGTCACACATAAATATTTCTCATCTGACCTCAATGATTTTTCCCACACGGTACCAACATGAATTATTCTCCGACTTAGAAGAATAATTCACAGATGGCCATTTCCAGTGAGGGAACCAATTCTGGAGTTAATTCCTTCAAGCCGCGCTCGCTCAGCTTGGCGGAACGTGACCCGCAGGAGCCTTGGGGCCTGCGGAGCGCCAGAACTTCTGAGGACACTTTGAAAGAGCAGAGTTCTCTCAGCATCGGGCTGGCAGCGGCAGGAGCCAGCCGACACTTCCGAGGCAGCATTTGCAAGCTAAAAAAAAAATTGAAAAAGCCGCCCAGGAGACGGAGCATCTTCCTCCAAGCGGCCTCTCTCTCCATCTCCCGCCCTCCCTTCCCCTCCCCGGGGCGCTCCCACGTCCTGGCGGGCACAGGTCCCGCACCTGCCGCCGCTGCCCTCACGCCCCCGGCCGCCGCCTCCCCGCGGACCCCCGGGCGGCTCCGCATCCGCAGCGAGCTCCGCTGGCTCCGCTCCCTGCGCCGCCGGCCCTGCCCCGTGCCCGCCCGGCCCTGCCCGGCCCGGCCCGGCGGCTCCCGCCGCCCCCCGCTCACCCGGGCCCCGCTGGCGGCGGAGCGGCCTCAGCGCCGGCACCGTCCGGGCGCCATCTTGTCTCCAGCCTCGGAAGTGACGTTGGGGGGAGGCCGCGGGCAGGGCCCGCCGCGGGACCCCCAGAGCCCCTTCCTGCCCTTCATCGCCCTCATCGGCTTCATCATCCTCATCCCACAGCCCCTTCCTGCCCTTCC